AGGAAACCCCTGATGAAAATTCATCCCAAAGAAAACTGTGTAGAGCTGTTCAAATTGAGTTCAAAAGCAATTGGCACACAAGGGAAGGAAGTGGTGTTTTGTGTTAGACATTTAGATTGTCAACCAACATAGGCCCAATGTGGAACTATAAGGGAAGAATGGCTCCTCTAAAGTCTCCCTGGATGGTGCTTAGAAAGACTCAGGTGTCAAGGGCTAGGCCATCACTATGAAATTCAGTACACAGCCTCCGGTTTTCAACGGCAACCTCTCAATGTTGAAAGGCTGTAGCAATAACTGCAGCCTCTGCTGGGCAACAATTAGGTACGTGGACCACTTTTGGTGGGGAAGGTAATTGGCAATATTACCACAATGGGCCCCGAGCAGGAAAGAATATTGCCAAGAGGGATGGGAACTTGATGTTCCCTCATTCTCACTGAGTTAGAATGGCCCTAGGAAATACACGTTAGAAAGAGGCAAATGGAGTGAGAGAGGGAACCAACAAACCCCAAAATAAAAATAAGAAACGTTAATCAGGGATTTATTTTAGAAAAAAAATTTCAGGGCACACCCTGATACTAGCACATTGTGTCTCTAAATTTCTTTTTTGCTATAGCTATAGGAATAAAGATTGTTAACGATTTTTGTGTGTCTTAGTTGTCAGGCAGATTCCATTAAACTTATTTTATTTTTGTCATTTTTCTTCTTTTTTTAATTTATCTTTATTGTTGAAAGTATTACAGATGTTCCTCTTGTTCCCCCTATTGACCCCTTCCACTCCATATACCCCTCCCAGGCTTTTACTGCTTTATTTGCACTATTGTCTGTGTGCATGGGTTATGCATATATGCATATAAGTTCTTTGGTTAATCTCTTAACCACCATCACCACCACCATCCCCACCTTCCCTCTGAAATTCATCAGTCTGTTCCATGCTTCTATATCTCTGGATCTATTTTGTTCATCAGTTTATTTTGTTCATTAGCTTCCACATATGAGTGAGAGCATGTGATACTATCTCTGACTGGCTTATGTTGCTTAGCATAATACTCTCCAGGTCCCTCCATGCTGCATAGTATTCCATTGTGTAAGTGTACTTTTATCCACTCATCTACCGATGGGCCCTTGAGTTGTTTCAAGATCTTAGCTATTGTAAATAGCTAAGAATATAGGGGTGCATATATTATTTCTGATTGGTGTTTGGGGATTCTTAGGACATATTCCTGGGAATGGGATCACTGGGTCAAATAGCAGCTTCATTTTTAATATTTTGAGGAAACTCCATACTGTTTGTTTTCCATAGTGACTGCATAGTACTGGAAGTTATAGTCACAGTGATCAGATGAGAAGAAAAAAGGCATCCAGATTGTAAAAGAGGAAGTAAAATTCACTATTTGCAGATGATATGACATGGTACATAGAAAACCCTAAAGACTCCACCAAAAAGCTACTGTATTTACTAAATGAATTCGGCAATGTAACAGGATACAAAATTAACACCCAGAAATTGATGGCATTTTTATACACCAATAATGAGCTCTCAGAGAAAATAAAAATAAAATCCTATTTATCCCTGCAAAAAAAAATTAAGATAGTTAGGAATAAACTTAACCAAGGAGGTAAAATACCTGTACTTGGAAAACTACAAGACGTTGTAGATTCCATTAGATTTAAGGCTATATTTTAGAAAAAAACATTCTTTTGTTTTTGTGTATTTATTTGGTTGTTTTACAAACTACAAAAATTTTATTTTAGTTAACTGCTAAGGCTAAATAAGTTAGATATTCATTAAATTATAATGAGTTTTCTAGTTAGTGAAGATTGACCATAAAGCTCACAATTAGATATATTTCCATAAGTGAGGAATTTAATTGATCTATTTCCATAAATGAGGAACTTAAAATTTGATTTATTTTTCTTCCCCAAGCAGATTATAACATTGCTCTTTTAAAGACAAAAGTATGTTACATATTTTGCTAATTCAAATCAGAAAATAAATTCATTGACCTTTGCAAAGCATTCTTTTAAATGTGTTTCATATGATTCAAAATTAGTATTTGTGATATCAAGTGCTTTCACAGTGCTTGGCACAAGGATAGGACTATGAGTAAGTACTAATTTCATTTTATTTCCAAAGGAAAAATGTGAGAGAGATATTTTGCATTCTAATAATGATAAGGTAGAAGACATTGTTTGAAAATACAATTAAATAAAAATAGATGGAAGAGCAAAGAGCAAGTGGCAGGCTGAATGTTACTTCCATCTTCTGACAAACCACTCTTTGAAACTGAACTTCTTTGTGCATGTTTTCTTTCATATTTAATGAAAAGGCTATTTTGTACTTAACGGGATTAGTGCATATTAAAGAAATCCCTTGTCGTTTGAGTCCCTTGAAAGAAGGGTACAAGGTAAATATTAGCATAGTAGAATTATCTCCATAGCATTGCTTTGTGTGGTGTGTGTGTGTGTGTGTGTGTGTGTGTGTGTGTGTGTGTGTTTAACTTGGCTAATGGCAGTAATAGCTTTTAAATTCTTAGTTATCTCCAGTGAGCTCAAAGTTTGACAAAGAGGTTGCTTTCCAGATGCTGGGAATTAAAACTGTAAGTATGGAAAGATAAAATACATTTTTAAATGTCATCTAGCTTAAAATGTTTTTGCATGAGTTCCAAGAAATATAAGACCAGATGTCAGAGATTGGCCAGAGCTGGGAGATGGAGAGCATGTGGGCACGTGCTCCAGCACAACCTCCAATGACATGCATGGAGTAACAGCTGCTCCATCAGTCAAAAATGACAGGATCTCATTGCCGCCTCTTGGAATACTAAAAGCAATGGAATACTAAATACTAAAAGCAATGAATGGTTTAAGAGACTGCAAGGTTTCTGGAAATTTAGTTTTAAGTTGTCTATCTCATGTTTGGGATTCTGAGAGACCATCTATCCCAAGAGCAGCACACCTCAGTTTGGTTGATGACAAAAAGTGTGTTTAGCATGTGGTGACCAGGCTTATTCTTATACACAGTAAATTACAGATTTTAGATTAATTACAAACTTTTCTACATCAGGTTCCATACTGACTTATCCAAATTTATGCCAGTTTTTTTTTCTTATTACTCAATATATACTAAGCAAAAACTATTTATAGGTCCATTTTTCAAATACTTAACAAATTATTTTCTTTTCTACACCTGGATATTATTTGTCTTATATCTCCCTATGTCAGAGTAATAAACTTATAGGATGGGTTGAGATTTTAATTCAATATGCATACTGTTA